GATGGGGCAGTTTGCTTCGGCAAAGATTTACAGACTTGGAAACCCCATGGGGCAGTTCTACTCTATCCTATAGGGTCTGCGTGAGTTGGAATCAACTTGACAGCAATGAGTTTAATGGAAAAATGAAAAATGAAAGATTAACAACCAAAAACACAAGATTTAAAATAATATTTTTAAATAAATTATATTCTGATAATTACCTTGTAATACAAGCATGGCCTATGAATTCACTTCGAACACATTAAACTATAGGAGCTCTGGTGGCATGGTGCCTAAGACATGTATTTGACTGCTAACCAGAAGGCTGGTGGTTCAAACACATCAGCTACTCCTCGGGAGGAAGACTGGGCAATCTACTTCAGTAGTGATACTGCCTCAGAAACCCAAAACCCACTGGCATCAAGTTGATTCTGACTTATAGCTATCCTATAGGACAGAGTAGAACTGCCCCATAGAGTTTCCAGGGCTGTAAATCTTTATGGAAGCAGACTGTCACGCCATTCTACCACAGAATGGCTGGTGGGTTCAAACCACCAATCTTTCAATTAGCAGCCAAGCACTTTAATCATTGAACCACCAGGGCTCCTTTAAACTATACTAGAAGGGGCTTACTCAGGAATAATACTATCTTCTCAAATTATTCTGCACCAAGAGGAGATGCACTATTGAACTGACAAAATATTATCTATCCTAGCAAATGTGGCTAAGGGAAGCATCTGGGTTTTAAGATAGATTTTTGGTATGAAAATAGAGAGTAATTAATGATGTCAATAGCAATATTGGAGATGTTCATAAATTAAGCAGAGTAGTTATCTGAATAAAACTGAAACAACACAAATACGCTGACTGCAAGATCTATTTACTGTGAAGTTCTTAAACCAGGTAAAAATTAATCAATCAATAATTTTAATTAAGGCACACTATGCATGAACCTAGGAGCTCTGGTGGCGTAGTGCCTAAAGCATTTCACTGCTAACCAGAAGGCTGACGGTTCAAACCCACCAGCCATTCCTCGCAAAGACGATTGAGTAATCTACTTCAATAGTGATACCACCTCAGAAACCCAAGGAGGGGTTGCAATGAGTTGGATCTGAATTGACAGCAGTGAGTTTGGTGTCTGGTTTACGTATGAACCATCCTTGGTCAAGTGGAAGATCAGTGAAAAAAAGGAAGACCCTCAATGAGATGGATTGATACAGTGGCTGCAACAATGGGCTCAAGCATGGCAACAATTGTCAGGATGGTACATGACCAAGCAGTGTTTCATTCTGTTGTACATAGGGTCATTATAAGTCAATTCAATGGCACCTAACAACAATGAATGAACCAAGGTACTAAAACCAGTACCAAAAACAAAGAAGCTTAAAACTCTCTTGGGCCTCAGGAAGCTTGCAAAGGTAGCCAAGTTATTATTACTATGAATTAGAAATTTTCTGATATCAAGGAGGAAAATTCTAAGGTTCTACAAATACCACATTTTATTTAAGGTACATACAACAGACTGCTCTTCACTCAGATCTAATTTACTGGTTGCACAGACTACTTTTTTACAGTTGTTATATTCAAGAACTTTCCTTCAAATAGACTGTATCCAATTATTACAATAACTCAAACTCACTGCCATCGAGTGGAATCCAACTCATAAACAACCCCTTCTTGGGTTTCCAAGGTGATATCTCTATGGAAGTAGATTGTCCAGTCTTCTTTCTGAGGAGTGGCTTGTGGGTTTGAACCACCAGCCTTCTGGTTAGCAGTCAAAAGCCTTAGCCACTATGCCACCAGAGCTCCCAATTGTTACAATAAAAGCAAACACACTGCCATGGAGTCAGACCTGACTCATAGCAACCCTTCCTTGGGTTTCCAAGGCAGTATCACTACAGAGGTAGATTGCCCAACCTTCCTTCCAAGGAGTGGATGGTGGGTTTGAACCACCAGTCTTCTGGTTAGTAGTCAAATGCCTTAGGCACTATACCACCAGAGCTCCCAATTATTACAATAGTACGCCTAAAAAAAATAAAGCTTTAGTACCATAATTACTTGTTAGCATGTTTAAAATACTCAAAACACTTGAAAAAACTGTAATGTGATTTTAATAATTCTGATTTAACATTTTAGGAAGGCAACTAACATTTAATTAGGATCACCACTCACAAAATAAAGGAGTTCTGATAGTACAGTGCCTAAGGCATTTGATTGCTAACCAGAAGGTTGGTGGTTCAAATTCACTAGCTTTTCCTTGGACGGGAGCTGAGGCAATCTACTTCCATAAAGATTTACCACCTTGGGAACCCAATGGGAGTCACTATGACTTGGAATTGACTCAGTAGCAGTGAGTTTGGTGTGTTTTTTTTATTTTGTTTTTATTTTTATTTTTTGACTCACAAAGCATTTGGTCCTACGCTAAGGACTTCAAGCACCAGTTCATTTACTTCTTAATAATACCAACTTCATGTATTCTTCATAATCCTGTAAATTACTACCTCTTATTTTTTAGATGAAGAAATCAAGGGTTAAGGAAGGTCAAATCACTCACTCTTAATCACCCAACTATTAAATATCACAGCTGAGATTACAACTTTACAGTCTGTTCTTTTACTACATATAGATTGCAACCATTACAATGACCAGAACCTCTGAAATTCGTTAGATATGTACACAATGAATTTCTCAAAGATTATATAAAAACAATTGCAATGAGAGCCAAGGCTGCCTTAGCACTAAAAATGTTTCAATTGCCCAAAGTTTATCTTTTTATACATTGTAATCTAATCCACAAACAGCTGCCCTTCAACCACAACACAGATTTTTGCTCAGTTCTCAAATTATGACTGAAGTTTAGTTCCTCATGTACTTTCTTCATGTTAACAATGAAATGTTTGTCAGGATAATAGTTTGTTTAAATAACCACATCACTATAAAATGAATCTAACTCAGATTACTTTGTTATTATTATTCCAAACTTCCTTAAGATTTAGGAGAACATTCTTCATATAACCTCTCACTCTTAGCTGTATACTGCCTTTGTGATCAGTTTCAACTAGCTGTATATATATATTCCATTTTGTTAGGGAAAACAGTAAAAGCATTTTCTACAGTTTTTATTATCCTGGAAATGGCTATGGACACAGGCATTTACTAAATTATAAGGGAATACAGCACTTTAAATAGTAAATATATAGTTATCTAAGTAGTTAAATAAAATTACAGAAAAGCAATAGTGTGAAATGAAATTTGTACATAAGCTCTTGTACAACCCAAATTTCTGACATCAACCAGAGAAACCCCTATTTAGAAGCTCAGCATATTCAAGTGAAAGCACAACTGTAACATATTCAGTACAATATCCAAGCAGATTCTTAATAAGCAAATTAGACTCAAGAACTATTAGTGCTCTTTCACCTCCACCTAAAGGAAAAAAAAAACTCATATAAATACATTAAATTACCAATAAACTACATCTGTCTACAGGGTTGGAATGCCAAAATTACAGCATTTCAGCTCTGTAGGAATTAAGCTTATTTTGTCAGGAAATGTATTAAAAAATTTTACTTTTTTTTTTTTTTTTCAAGTTTCCAAAATGTGCCATAAAAGCCAAAAGCTTTACATCTTCTACAATAATTCTCAAAGCCTATCTCATGAGAAATGTTCCCATTTAGTGCACTGGTGATCTAATTAATAGCCATTTGTATTACTTAAGCCCTACTTAGGCTGTTTTTCAGAAACTCTTCTGCTGGAACAGGACCTGGTTCACCCACAACCAAGAGTCTGGACTTTCAGATTGAAATATTAAGTTACAAAAATGTACTCATGTAGCTAAATGAACAGCCTTCCTGTGTATAAAAGAGCAATCTTACATTATGAGACACAAAATAAATTTAAAAGAATTTACTAGGCTGTAAGTACAGAGACGAGCCTCAACAATGAGCCCATGTCTAACAAATATCGTAGATAACAGTAATAACATTCTTAAGTACAGCATAGCGTGAAAAAAGCTTTTTTTTTTTTTTTCAATTTAATATACAATGTTTACAACGACTATATTTTTTCACTTCCTAAGGTGTTTTTCAGATCTCAAAAGGAAATGCATTCTGTGGGGGCTGACCCAGGTTACACTCTAAGCTACTGTCCATGCGAAAAAAGACTTCGTCGGAATCAGCAGACCAAAGCCAGTTTACCGTGGGGAAAAAAAGAAAAACCCTGTATACAACTACTACATCCTCAACGAAACATTATCGAATAAATTCCTGTAAGGCGACTAACAGAAAAAATTCTGGCTGGTAGCAGGATCCGGTCCTCAAAAATAAAACTGAGATTTAGCCAACTCAGAGGTGTAAACAAATCCATCTCCACTGCAGAAGGTAAACAATGAACCTGCAGCAGACTGAGGGGGCGGTCTTCGCCAACTACTGTCCTAGCGGCCCGGGAACCGCAAGCAGGAGGAAGGACACTTCAGACTAGACACTTAACAGTAATGACCAGCTCTAGCTATCACTATCGAGTTACCAATGCTGCGGATCCCCCAGGATGAAAAGTAGTCACACAGCCATCAAGAACCGAGCTAGTCTGGCTTCTGATCTAGGGGACGGGGAGGGCAGGATGTGGTCGCTCTTCCCTCAAACATCCTCTTGCAACCTAAATAACAGCCTCTACCTCCCTCTGGCCGCCTCCAGGATTCTGCTGCACGAGCTCCGGGATAGATGGAAAACACTCCCCGAGGGTCCAGGGAATCAAGAAGGTGGCCAGTCCAGCCACGTCCCGCTCGGTGCTCCTCACCGAGGCCGGGAGGAAAGCTCCGGGTTCCCGAAGCCGGCACTTGGAAAGGGGGATGGGTCCGGCTAGGCGGCCCCGGGCTCCGCTCCGAAGGGCCGGCAGGCGGGGCTCGGGCTCTGCCCCCAACAACCCCGCCGGTCCCGTGCGGGGCCCGCCCCAGCCCCCGGCCCCCAGCCCGGGCTCCTCCCCAGCAGCGCGTTCTCGCCGGCGCCCGCGGCGCCCCGCGTTACCTCGGGTCAGATCCAGCGGGACGTTCTCCTCGCCGCTGTCATTCCGCCCTGCGCGAAACAGACACACAGCCCCAATTAGGATTCGCTAGCAGGCCAATGGCAGTAGCCCTGGCTCCGGCCAGCGCCCCGGCTCGCTCCCCCTACCCAGGGACAGAGGGAGGCAAGTGGCAGGGGTGTCGGGCCCCGGGCGGTTGGGGATGAGGACTGCAGAGGGCTTACCTCGTATTCGGAGATTCTTCAGCGAGCGGCCGCGGCCGATCGCCGCCATATTGACGGGTCTCAGTCACAACACCGGAAACCTCGCCCAATCGCGCGAGAACCCCTCCCCCCCCGACACCGCGCGCCTCTCCCGCCCCCCCGGCAACACCTCCCCCGCCCCCTGATCGGCAGGAGATTCAGCCCTGGGTGCTGAGAGAGTGTCGCGCGGCCCGGGATCTGGGCTGAAGTGACGCTGCCCACCAGGGACGGAGCGGACGCGACGACAGGTCCGGCCCTCCGAGAGTGCGTCTGCCGGAGAGAGCATTTCCCACGAGGGGAATCCCATTGGTGCGAGTTGGCAGCGTAGGGATGCTTCCCCTCCATTTCCGTCCGTGGAAACCGTACGGTCAAAACCCGGGCGAGTTGAATGGAGGGAGGGAGGGATGCGGCTGGCGGCCACCTGCTGAATCCATCCTGCCAGATTCTCCTGTTTACTTTCAAGCCCTGGAATAGACCAGCCTGCTTCCTTATTCTTCCAACAAAACGGTTTTTCTCAAAAAAACAAACAAAAGCCAAAATGATGCGCATAGTTTTAACCTCACTTACATCCTTACTTAGACTCGCTTTGCTCCAATTTAAGACGTAAGAAAGTTTGTTTTCCACCTTCTGACCACCCTGCTAAGCAGCCTTGCACTTGATCTTCAAAACCACACTTACCCTGGAGGACTTCTCCAAGTGGAAGTGGTTGAGTGGAGGTTTTGTTGTTGACGGCCTTCTACGAGGGAGAAGCGGGTGAAGACGCCCCGTTGTAGGGTGGTCGTCCCAGCGGTGGGATTGTTTCTGGGCGCCTGGGAGGTGCGTTCCTCTACCTGGAAGCAGGGAGAGGCTGCTGATCCTTTACTCTCTCTTAGAATAGTGGCTAATGTAGATGTTGTGGATTCTTATTTTTAATACATAAACATAACAATTATCAACAGTAAGGATTTTAATTCTGTAAAACCGCCCCCCCCCCGACCCCACAACTAATCCTTCAACTGAATTCACTTGAAAGAAAAGGCAAGCGTTCTTGCCCCGAAACTTTTTGGGCGTTTTCTCGCTTTTTCCTATTTTGTCTTCCTACTCCTATAAGCATAGTGTCTAAGGCACTTGACTGCTAACCAGAAGGCTGGCGGTTCAAACCCACCAGCCACTCCTCGGAAGGAAGGTTGGGCAATCCTACTTCCGTAGTGATACTGCCTCGGAAACCCAAGGAGGGATCGCTATGAGTCGAGTCCAACTGGAGGGCACATGACGAGTCCGACTGCAGGGCACATAACAACAACTACAACAATCCTGGAGACTAAGTTAATGGATGGTGGATATCTTGCCTTAACCACCTCTCTTTTCCCAGCTCCCAGTTAGCACAATGCCCAGCACAAATAATGTTCAATAAATATCTGTTGGATGAGTAAATGTCCTGGATTCTTTCCTTGTTCTAATGTGCTTCTTATTTAAAAAGCAGTGTTGGAGATTTTTGCAGTTATTTATAATAAGAAACACTTTTCCAAAGGTAAGAAATTAATTATATAAATTATGGCAGCCATGAAAAATTATGTAGCTCCAGTAAGTATTTCTATAGGAAATAATGTTCCTGCTAGTAAATCAATCAGAAGCAAAGGTGAATAGTTCCCATTTTTATAAATGTTTAAAATACACACAAAATAAGAAAATACGTTTTACAAAACATGATTCGATACACATCTGAGCATAGAAAAGTCAAGAGAAGCTAAACACCAAATGTTAACTGACGTTTGCTTATCTGTACTTTTTAATGTTCTGTGATATATATAATATATAATTTTACTGCCATGGGGTGGGCTCTGACTCATACCGACCCTTCCTTGGTTTTCTGAGGTGGTATCACAACAGAAGTAGATTGCCCACCCTTCTTTCCAAGGAGTGGCTGGAGGGTTTGAACTGCCAGCCTTCTGGGTAGGAGTCAAATGCCTTAGGGCACTATGCCACCACAGCGCCTAATTAATATAAATCACTTGTAACAAAAGTTCTGGAGACAAAAATAAACAGCATAGAGTAGCATCATCAGGAAAATGGGGTAGAAACACAGCTTCGTTTGGATACTATTCTATTTTATTTTCCAGATTCTTCTCTTCCCACAGGAGCTCTGGTGGCACAGTGGTTAAAGCATTCACCTAGGAACTAAAAGATAAGCAGTTCAAACTCACTGCTGCTCCGTGGAAGAAAGAGGACGGAGTCTGCTTCTGTAAAGTTGTAATCCCTATAGTTTTACTCTGTCCTATAGGGCAATCCTCCTTCCGTAGTGATACTGCCTCAGAAACCCAAGGAGGGGTCGCTATGAGTTGGGGCCAACTCGACGACACGTAACAACAACAACAATAGGGTCTCTATGAATCAACTCAGTGGCAGTTGGTGATCTCTTTTTTGTGTGCTGCCCAGTCCGACCCGACTCATAGCGACCCCTCCTTGGGTTTCTGAGGCAGTATCACTACAGAAGTAGATTGCCCCATCTTCCTTCCGAGGAGTGGCTGGTGGGTTTTGAATAACCAGCCTTCTGGTTAGCACTCAAGTGCCTTAGGCACTACGCCACCAGAGCTCACCAGGTCTATATTCAGTTATCCACTGCTGCACTTAGATTTAAGGATGTGATACAATTAGAATTCCTTAAAGAAATACCTCCTGACATGAGTAGAACTTTAATAATAACTAATGTGCTCCCTCTTTTATAGCTTGGTGCAAACTAGTCTCGTTACCTAAGATTTTTGCCTAAAATAAAAATCACAAAACTTGAAGTCTGGCCAGGACATTAAAAATTTTTGTGTTTCATCCTCCATGTATCACACATTGCACCATTTTAGGAAACTAGAGATCTATCAGTGGAAATTGTACCAGATTCCTACAATTGTTCTAATTTTTACCAACAACTTTTTTTTATCTAATCTTTTTATATCTGTATCCTAAGTTAACTCACTAACTGCTGGAAGCAGCAGTTGGGAAATCAGATGTCATATTGCACTGGGAAAATCTGCTGCAAAAGACCTCTTGAAAGTGTTAAGAACCAAAGATCTCACTTTGAAGACTAAGGTGCACCTGACCCAAGCCATTGTATTTTCAATAGCCTCATATGCATGTGAAAGCTAGACAATGGATAAGGGAGAAGAGTTGATGCCTTTAAATTGTGGTGTTGGCAAAGAATACTGAAAATACCATGGACTGCCAGAAGAAGGAACAAATCTGTCCTGGAAGAAGTATAGCCAGAATGCTCCTTAGAAGCTACAATGGTCAGCATTTGTCTAACATACTTTGGTAATGAAGAGAAGGGACCAGTCCCTGGGGAAACTTTGTCTCACATACTTTGGTGATGTTGTAAGAGAGACCATTCCCAAGGATATCATGCTTGGTAAAGTAGAGGATCAGCAAAGAAGGGGAAGACCCTCAACGAGATGGATTGATCCAGTGTCTGCAATGATGGGCTCAGGCACAGCAAAGATTGTGGGGATGGCGCAGGACCGGGTAGTGTTTCCTTCTGTTGCACTTAGCGTCACTAGGAGTCAGAGCCTACTTGATGGCACATAACAAATTAACTGCATCCTGTTGTTGTTGTTGTTATGTGCCATCGAGTCGGCCCCGCTCCTAGTGACCCCTCCTTGGGTTTCCGAGGCAGTTATCACTACGGAAGTAGGATTGCCCAACCTTCCTTCCGAGGAGTGGCTGGTGGATTTGAACCACCAGCCTTCTGGTTAGCAGTCAAGTGCCTTAG